ACAAAACTGTGTAATCCATGTTCTTAGTCAAATCTGTTTCGATGATTCTTGTGATTTAATGTTGAATCAATAAGTTTAGCATCAGAAATGTATTGTTGTTTTCGGTTTTCAATAAATTGGTGATAATTTTTCATAATACTCACTCTAATACATAGCTTTATACCAGCAACAGTTATCACTTCATCATTTTCCAATCGAGAAATTCCGAAAACGGAACACAGTATCGAGTTTCACCCAAGAGTACCTTCTTGGTGTGAAATTAAATGATGTTCAAGTTCACATCAAATTTAGATTAAAAAATCTAACCTCAAAAAAGTTATGTTCAAAACTCCTCGGAGCGAACCGTGTAACTAGCGCCCTCTATGAGATTCAGATATAAAAACAAATGCATGCGATGTGTCAGATTCCAAGAAACATCCATACAGAATTTGATCACAATGTCGCCAGTAGTTTCAACAAAATCTTGAAAAATGTGTGAAAAAAAAATTTTTTCACCACCTTGTATCTTGATAACGGATGCCGTTACGAAATATTTTAACTAAGTAAACTAAACTTATTCTGCGGTGTTCTACCCACCCTAGTAAAGGGGTCAGGTTTTTTTTGAAACACCCTGTATACGTTAGAGATGCTAGTGAAAATTGTAAAGAAAAAATTGAAGATAGTTTTCGCGATGAAATGTTGATGAAAATATATTGTCTTGATCTAGTATAGTAATGTATAATAATACTTTCGTGTGTTGCAAAGTGTGATGTACCAACAATTATTAAATATTATTGTGAAATAAAATTCGTTTTTGCAAACCTCATAAATGCCAGTAGATTTGCCTAGTATGTTTCCTTTTCTAAATAAGGATCAACTATTATCTTCTGCAAATCTACTGTATTTGGTTCTTTACAAAATACTGAGGTGTCGAATCTTCATTCTTTACTACTATATAAGTGAAAAAAAATAATAAAACATTGATCGTTGTTCCTATCAGAAAATTTCTAGGGCTTGAAATACTGAAACACGCAATACTGTGATATCAAATTAGGGGGAACATGAATAATCCGATATAATGATGTTTTTTCTGCATTCGAAGAATTTACCGAATAGGTTATCACCATCTGATAACTGATCATAATTTATACAGGATGTTTCGTAATATGTGGGACGCACTTCAAGAAAATAAAAAAGTTTCCATAAAGAAAAGTCAGAAATATTGAAAATAATTATAGTTTTTTTTATGTCCACCCTGTATGGCTTATCGTGGTGGCAAAATTTAGTATGTTATGTGATTGAACAGATGTCTTGAATGGACTATCCGACATCCTCGGACATTCACATCAAATTTTGTAGTTGAATTTGGTTGAAACTGAATGTTACAAGTCATCTCCACGACAATTTATTGTGAAAACTCACGGGTTCATTGTGAATAATCACATCAAGGGAACATGTTTTCGGATATACGTCTGGCCATCATCAGCCTAATAAGAAATTACATAGTCATGAAGGTGACACAATTTTTATAATAACAGTAGAGAATTGAAAAACATGAAAGTTAAATGGTTAGTTGTTTTCTAGGGGGATAACCATGAAAACCCCCATAGATGGGCATGATGGTGGGTAATAAAAAACTAAAGAGCTCCCTAACATTTGGGGTACTTCCATGAGCAAGTTGACATCACAATGAAGAATCTATAGTTTAGTACTTTTCTTCTACAAAATTAAATCGTTTTCCACATTTTCGAATGAAATTTTGATAAGTATCATTGCCAACCATGTTGTATCAGTGACGCTGGAGGTATTGCTGGGGCTGCCGCCGCTCCCAATCTGGATTAAGAGGGAAGCAATGGCGGCCTATCTGAGGATGAGGGACTCTGGGAATTGGGCGAACGGAGGAGCAGTGATAGGTCACGCGGAAATTGCGACATGGGTGGAGCAGGAGATCCCTATCTCCACCCTAAGAGTAAAGAACGCCCAAAATAGGCTGAGATGGAATAAAAGGTTCACCCTCACTATTCCAAGCAGGGAACAATGGGAAGAGAACAGAGTGGAATTCCGCCCGGGGAGTCTAGTATGTTATACGGACGGATCGCGCCTAACTGACAAACAGGACTCAGGTGCAGGAATTTACCTAGAAGGAATAGGCATAAGGGAGAGCTACGCTCTTGGAAAGTATACCACAGTTTTCCAGGCTGAGGTCTTTGCCATTCTGGCAGTAGCGGAGAGGCAAGAGGTGAAAGAGGGACCAGAGCAGAAGATTTACATCTGCTCGGATAGTCATCAGGCGGCTCTCAGGGCTGTCTGCCATCCTAAACCAAGCTCAGCTTTGGTGCACGAATGTGGCGATGCTCTTGAGAAACTAGCTGAACAGAAGGAAGTCGAACTATAGTATGGGTTCCGGGCCACAGGGGGGTGCCCGGGAAAGAGGTGGCCGACGAGCTGGCTAGAATCGGATCCGCGACACCGTTCTGGGGGCCCGAGCCTGCACTGGGCATAACAAGAAGCCAAACTTCGTCTGCCCTTAACAAATGGGCGGACGAGGCACTAGAAGTATATTGGAGGTGTATAGGCGGCTGCAGGCAATCGAGAGACCTGGTAGCCGGTCCAAGCAAGCCAAAGACGGTTTGGTTACTAGGCAGGGATCGCCAAGTCCTGCGCCTTCTTATAGGGATACTGACAGGGCACAACAGGTTACGCAGGCACCTATCACTCATAGGTGTGGAAGATAGTCCCACTTGCCGTGAATGCGGAGAAGATGAGGAGACATCACTTCACTTCCTCGGAGAGTGTGAGGCGTATGGAAGGATGAGATTCGAAATCTTTGGAGTAGATAAACTACAACAGGAAGATTTGGTCGAATTAGAGTGGACGGACATCCTGACCTTCATCAGAAGGACGGGACGGTTCGAAAAGGACAACTAAAAGAAGGATGTGTAGATATGTGGAGAGCAGGGGTTGGCAAAAAGGGCCCATGGGGGCCTACTTGCCTGGCTACAGCCTCCCCACAGTACTACTACTACTACTACTACTGCATCTGAATATCAAGAATTTTTGTTTAGCGGTTATCTAGGAATTCAAAAGAAATTAGTTTTTATTATAAACTTCAACACTCTGTATCTCGCAAACGGAGCCTTCAACGACATTTCTTCATGAGAACTATTTCATTTTCTTGGGACGCCCCATCACCTCTTGGAGTGCGTCCCACATATTACGAAATACCCTGTATATGGCGGAAGCTACTGTGTTTGCGAAACATGTCATGTCATAAAAAAATTGCAAAAATCTGCTGGGTTTTTTCATGAAGTAATAGCGGAGTCGATGCCACAGAAACAAAAAACAATACTGAATAGTTGAATAAATACCTTAAAGAAGTCTAATACTCCAAAACTGCAGTAATTGACACTTTTTTCGTCATATTAAAATCAACCTGAGAGAGAACTCAGTAAGGCTCAGACATTTTGAGAAAAATTAAAATCAGATACTTACATTTTGAATCGATATCAAAGCAACTAAAAACATCAACTTATTCCTGCAAATAGAGTTGGTATATTTTTTCAAATTCCTTGGTGGTTAAGTACTGCTTTGATAATATATTTTTATTGAAATGTTAAGTTTTACCAAACATGAAATTAAGATTCATGAAAAACAATGAGTTATTGAGGTTAACCCACTTTTAATATTACATTTTTACTGAAAATTTCATTTCATACCTCATCTTCCTCAAATCTGGATAACTATAAAAAAATTCGTCATATCAAATAAATATTCGGACATAATTAAAGCACTCCAATTTTTCTCCGGAACCATTGAAATTCAAGGTTAGTCTTTTAAAAATAATTCAACAGGTTATGAAAGATTTCAAGTCTTATGATCCTTCTTGCCCATCAAATTTGACGTCAAATTTGAAATAATTGAAAAAATAAATTAAAAATGTTGTACTAGATAAAATATTACTTTTCACAGATCGTAGAATATTCAAAACGAATAATGATACATATTTACAAGAAAGAATATATAAAATTGTCAATGGGATAATAATAATTACTAATAAAAACGAAAATACTTTAAAGCTCTCTAAATGTTCCAACGAACCACGCGCATGTTAAAAAAACGTGAAATGAAATTTATCTTGAACTACTGTTCAGTCCAATCAAATGATTTGAAATTTTGTAATAGACTGGCCGTTAACGACAGATTGTGTGCAACATTTTTTTTATGGATGCATCTTTCAAGTCATGATTTTTATAGGTCTTCAACATGTGTTTGACAATTATTTAATTGTGCTCGCAGCAGCGGCGTCACCAATCAGATTTGAATTTGCATTGAGAATTGATGATTTCGAACGATTAGTAAGTGAGGTTCTTTTTGAAATTTGAAAAAAATTATACCGCGGAAAAAATTTACATACTTTGCCTTCGTGTAGGAAGACTCGAAACTATTGACTGAACATTTGATAAAGAACAATTATTCAACTTATAGTTATGCATACAATCGTGTCATGCGCTTGCTTTGTGGTAATTTTCAAACAAGCACATTTTTGCAATAAAATTAAAGAAGATGCTTGAAAAATTACTACTGCGCATGTGGGCAGAGTATACAAATTCTTTCCGCAGTATCATTTGTTTTTTTATTCAACTGAAAGCGATTTGCATGAATTCACTCCTGATTGTTCAAAATACTCAATTTTCGAAGCAAATTTAAATTCAATTGGTGACGCCGCTGCAAGCGAGCAATAATTGTCAAGGACATGTTGAAAACCCATAAAAATCGTGACTTGAAAGATGCATAAATTGATAAAATTTTGCACAGAATCTGTCATTAATAGACTGGCCATTAGCATCCAACAATCCACGTCACTAAAAACCATTCACATACGGATATGGGAAAAACCTCGCATACAAATATTGTATAGGGTATCACCTCAAACACCGACAAACTCCTAAGAGCTAAGAGCGATCGACACATCCTTCAAAAACCCAAGTACGTGAGAAAAGTACGAGACAAGTGAGCTAATGTCACTGTTTCTTCACGTTTTTGAAGAACCACTCAGTGAATTTTCTGAGCTGTTGCACGGCCGCGTTCGCCTGATCCTGCAACTTTCTGTTCTCGTCGGTCAGTCGTCTCACCTCGTTCTCCAACGACTTTCGTCGTCTCGTCTCCCTGTTCACTTTGAGTTCCAATTCAGCGACGTGGTTTTGTAGCTCGGGCACGCTGGTACTCGAACTCACCCTGTAATCAAACGTCACGATTTTCGTAATCGTAGATAGAAGGAAAATATTTATTTATTTATTGATACAATACATTCAGCAGGCCCAAATGCCCATTTACCGGTGTATATAATTAGCATTATGAATAATTACATATATAACAGAATCAATTCTGAATGAAACACTTCTAGATATAGTAGATATGGGAGAATTAAAATGATGCACTGTATTGGGAATAGGAATATGAAATGTGCTACGAAACCTAGATGAAATATGCGGTACAGTGAATAGCATATTTTTTTATGTTCCGGTTCCCACGAAAAGGAATATCCTGTAATGTTCAGAGAACATCGTGAGAATCCAGGGAAATAAGGTAGGAATGGGTGTTCTTCCTAAATTTTTGAGGGTTATATGCCTCGGGGAACACCTCTCTTGGCAATGTGTTCCAGAGCCTCGCTGTTTGTTGGATGAACGAGTCTTTGGAAAGAGATGTTATGCAGGTCTCCAAAGTGACCACAAAGAAGTGCGAAGTCTCAACTCGACGGGTTAATCTCGCGGGGACTGCCAAGGGAGGTACAATTGTTGATATTTCAGAAGAGCATCGTCCATGGAAATATCTAGAAAATAGAGCCAGATCGCCAACTCTTCTACGGTGTTCCAGAGAAGTGAGTGAGTTCGTGAGCGAGGCATCACCCACGAGACGAATTGCCCTTTTTTGGACATAATCCAACAGTTTCAGGGTATGTTTGGGTGCTGCACTCCAAATATGGAAACAGTATTCCAGGACAAGTCGGATCTATGCATTATAGATCATAAGCAGCTGACTGGAAGTGAAATAGCTCCTGGCCCGAAACGGAAAACCAAGTTTTTGGGATGCACTTTTAGCAATTGATCTCACGTGATTTTCCCAAGAAAGATTAGGTTTTAATACCATCGAAATGGATGTCTTCAAAGGTATGGTTACTCCTGACAACCTGATGTTGGGCACAGTGAGATCGGCTTTTCTAGAGAAAAGGCATGCTTGAGTTTTGATTGCATTGAAATGTACCAAGATATTGAATCCCCATTAGAGAATTGTTGCCAAGTCCATATTTAGGTTGTCAACATTGCTTCCTCGTTCGTTTCTGATTTGCCTGGCTGGAGAGATATGTTTGCAGAAAACTAGCTATCAGAGAACATAGCTGGGGAGGCGAGCCATAAGATGGAAGCTTGGCGAGGAGTCCGTATTGCCAGTCTCGATCGAATACCTTGGAGATATCAATTGCCACGGCTAAGGTTTCACCATTCACCATATTTTTCGATAGATTGCTACCATATATGTGAGACGTAAGCGAGCAACATCAAAAGAAAGTAATGTATACTCAACCCAAACAGACTAACCGACTAGTGAAACAAAAATCTGATGAAAATAAAATTGATTGATAAAAAGGATGCAAAAAAACTATTACATGAGGATTTGAACACAAGACCACAGGAGTGACCAGCCAATGTCTTACCACTGAGCTACTAACCATCTTGGGTATCTTTGTTATATAGAAAGAATTGTATTTCCCTGAATGGTCGGCAATCTAGAGGAAAAGTATGGAGTGCCGACTGGTCGGCAGCCTATACACTTTCATAATTTCATTCATTGTTTCCATAGCAAAACATTATTGATTTTATTGTCAGTCAAAATTATGTCACAGTCAAAATTATAAGTGTATGAAAAAAAAAATAAGAAAAATGCAAATATTAGAAGACAGCAGCCAGAGGGAAGCGGGAGATAGAAACCGAGCAATCTACCTGAAATCACGAATACTGGCAATGAGAAAAACCATCGAAAATCTGAGAAAACGCATCAACGATGAAAGGAATCTGCTAGAACAGGAAAAAATGAGCATGCTAAACTTCTATATGTCTACAGAGAATGAAAGTAGTTCTAAGTTTTCGGTCCAGCCTTCATCCGAGTCGTATCTAAGTCAAGAAACATTCAAACCTGCAGGAGATAAACACTCGAGTGAGTTTTCACCAGCTAATAAACATTTGGAGAAAATTGGGGAGCAATGTGACACGGAATTGATAAAGCTGCAGAATTACATCGAGAGTATCAAAGAAATTAGGAAGTTTTGGAATAGGTCTATGAATTCAAAAATCGAGTTAGAACACCGCAAACAGTGGAAGAATAAGAAAAGTTACGAAAAATATAATGAGGGTGTGCCTGATACTGCAATTCTGTTATAGTTCTTTCACTTGCCAATGTTGATTCATGTTTACGAAATTTTGTCTTTATGGTGTTAATGAATAATGTGCAGTACCTATTTATCTTTTGGTTCCTGTTCCTATTATTGTAATTCACAATAATTCAATTTGAACTGCGTAATTTCGAAAATGCAGTAATATACTAAGTAGAAATCCGCCGCTATAATAATTTTTTACAGTAGAAAAAAAAAAGGACACTCATAGGGGATTAAATAAATACGCGAGGCTCATTTCCACAAATGTTCATAAATGACAAAAATTGATAGATAACGAGAGAAACACAACTTCTTTACTGGCTATACGCCACGCAAAACATTGCATTACATTCTTCCAAAAGGACCCCACACGAAAACACGGGAAATTGGATCTCGGTCGAATTGGCTGAAATTTTACTATGTTGTTGTGGGATGGCTCATTAAAAAAATATGTGAGTTTGAAAAGTTTTGTATGTTTAGTTTCTGAGATATAAGCCGACAAAGTTCGTAAAAACGTATGGGGGTAGGATTTACAGAGAAAAAAAACTGTTTTTTTAGTATAAATAAGACAAAATAAGCTAAAAAATGTATTGATCGGAACTCAAATACATGTCTAGTTATGATCACATCAATTATAGTAAATCAGGGTGTATACGAGGCACGGTCAAATAATTCATTTTTCGAAAAAAAAAATCGAGCACTATTCCAAAACCAACATGTAATATTTTGGTGAGACATTATAGTTTCAGTCTATTGTAGGCTTCGAAAACGTATTCTCGTTCTTGATAACTATCTCTATTCGAAATATGAATTCTTTGAATTTTGTGTTACACCCCTTTTGGAAATCAATTGACAGCTTGTTTTTGATCACAAAAAAAATGATTGATTGATACTGTTGATTGAATGAAAGCTGAGGTAACTCACTAGCGAATTCAGTTGTCCAATATTGCGTTTCATTTAGAAACAGGTTGTGCTAGATTTTGTTGAAGATTATTTAAAATATTTCAATTGAATATCTCGAAAACAGTTCCGTTAATTTGGATCTCATTTTACTCACACTATTTTGAATATGTTGACTATCATATGCAAAAAGTTCTTCAATTTTTTATGTTTCGTTTCTGAGATATGCATCCCTGTAATACCTGTAATACTGTAAACTCAAAAATTGATATCTCAGAAACGAAACATGAAAAATTGAAAAACTTTTCGCATATGATAGTCAACATATTCAAAATAATGTGAGTAAAATGAGATCCAAATTGACGAAACTGTTTTCGAGATATTCAATTGAAACATGTTAAATAATCTTCAACAAAATCTAACACACCCTGTATCTAAATGAAAGGCAATATTGAACAACTGAATTCGCTAGTGAGTTACCTCAGCTTTCATTCAATCAACAGTATCAATCAATCCCTCTCTTTGTGATCAAAAACAAGCTGTCAATTGTTTTCAAAAAGGAGTATAACACAAAATTCTAAAAATTCATATTTCGAACAGAGATAGTTAAAAAGAATCAAAATACATTTTCGAAGCCTACAATAGACTAAAACTATTATGTCTCATCAAAATATAACTTGTTGGTTTTGGAATAGTGCTCGAATCTTTCTTCCGAAAAGTGAATTTTTTGACCGTGCCTCGTATACATCCTGATTTACTACAATTAATGTGATTGAAACTAGACATGTTTATGAGTTCCGATCAATACATTTTCTAGCTTATTTTGTTTCATTTATACTAAAAAAGCTGTTATTTTCTTTGTCAATCCTACCCCGATACGACGTTTTTACGAACTTTGTCGGCTTATATCTTAGAAACTAAACATACAAAACTTTTAAAACTCACATATTTAGTGAAATTTCAGCCAATTCGACCGAGAGCCAATTTCCCGTGTTTTCGTGCGGAGTCCTTTATGCAATTATTCGCATAGACGAATAAAATCGCGACACATAGGGGATTGTTTCCTTGTATCTATGGAATGCTTTTTGAGAGATCTTCAATGATTAGCAAATATATAGGGTTTTCTTTCTGAATGACTTACACTTCCTGCTTTCCCTGCATATTTTCTCAGATAGCGAAAACGTATCTTTTGATTGGAGAAGTAAAACATTTTCTACAGTCGAATATGTTATAGTATGTTATGTACTTTATAACTTGTCACCCGATACCACAAATCACGCATTTGAATAATGATTCATAATATATTATCATGAAATTGGCACTCAACTATAAATTAGTATCATTTATACTCATCAGGTATCTCTCATGAGTGGCTCACCCACATAACTGTATTGTTTCTGTAGATAAACAAATTATATTTGGTGTCTAAGTATAGTACCTAATTATGCATTGTTTTGACGTATTTAATAGTTTTCTATAACTTCAGGTTTGGTTATAATATCACTATACTTATTATGCCGCAAATAATTCTTCTCTACATACTTCGAATTTAAGAAATAATTTGACAATTTGGCAATATTGCCGGTCGAATATTTATAATGTCAATATTGAACTGAACTTCATCCGTACAGTGTCAGAATAATTCGAAATGGGCATGCATCTGCTCTAGATTGGTTCGAACAATGATGGAAATAAGATATGGTGTAATTACTCATGCGCTTTTGTTTCAGAAATTTTACTCGACTTCTCGAAAATGCCATTTGCCATTTTATTTCCACTCGTCACAGTAGTAATAGCAGCATCACCATCTAGCGGGAAAATGTAGAATCAACGTCTCGCTCATTGTGACGTAGAGAAATCATAGTAGGCGGTCGAGTGATTTTTCTGAAATTTTCAATACGTAATAATGGCCGAATACGCGCACCATATCTTACTTCCATCAATGTTCGAACTGTGCGGGAGTTCCGCAAGGGTCTCATTTGGGTCCCCTACTCTTCAATCTTTTCATACATGACATTGGTTCATGCTTTGAAAACTCACACCATTCTATATATGTTGATGGTCTTGAAATGTTCAAGTCAATATCTACCTTGACAGATAGCCAACTACTTCAACGTGATATAAATAATCTACAGAATTACTGTGTTACCAATTACTTATCCTTGAATGTAAATAAATGTCATTACATCAGATTTTCCCGACTGCCTAACGAAATCAATTTTCTTTATAATATTGACAAGTCATTATCCAAAGTAGAAGTCCTGAAAGACCTAGGTGTGATAATTGATTCAAAACTCACTTTTGAGGCACATATTGAGAAAATAGTGAAAAAAGCTCTCAGAAACCTGGGATTTATTTCAAGAATAACTAAATCCTTTAAAAATCCAAAGTCGTTGTTAATATTATACAACTCTATAGTTAGGAGCCACCTCGAGTTCCCATCGATAGTATGGAACCCCTACTATTATAAATACATTGAACGAGTAGAGAGAGTTCAAATGAAGTTCATTTTTTTTTTCAAGTTCAAGAGATCTCAAACTCACTTATCATACGAGAGTCGCTTACATTTCAATCTCAGCAAACTTTCCTCTCGGAGAATTGTAAGCTACGTTATAATTCTTTTCAAAATTCTCAGCAACAGAGTAGACAGTAGTTACATAGTCAACAGGCTCTCGTTCAATGTACTCACACACGTTACCCGCTCTCATAATTTGTTCTATGCAAGAAGTTCACCTCTATACATGGTACAAGATTTATATAACTCATATTTCAGCCACATCAATCTGTTCAATAGCACTTTACATAGAGTCAGGAAAGAATCTGGACAATTTTTCGATTTGAATTGATTCATGACGGTATCCAAATTTTCAGTCCAATACTTTTTTGGTACTTTTTTGTTTTTTGATTTTTGTATTTTTGTATTTTTGTTTATTTTTGGTGACTATTCCACTCTTGATCTCGAGAACCAATCAGAATCGACCATTTTCACGGTTTCTTCTGTATTCTAGCGATATTTTTTGTTTATTAAATTTTATCGGACTTGCTCTACCAATACAGAAGCCAAATTGACCCACACGTGACCAACAAGTTTATCAGCGATAAAATTTTGACATCGTGTCTGGTCAAGATTGCTTTGGATTCAAATCTGACACAAGAGACAATAACCTATTTCATTTTATTTACTTATAATTCGCGTTAGTGAGACATTTTGTACGAAAGGCGAGACAATTTCATTCTGGCTGGACGTTTCATGTGTAATTTAATAAGTTTGCATATTTGGTGACGGTCTGACACAACAATACTAGAATTCAAATTCCTTTTTAAAGTAATCTTTTTCAGTCACTCAAGTTATTGTAACTATTATAATGACCAGCTGATGTGGCTCAACTGATAGGGTTGTTGCGCGGTGATACGAAGGTCGGTGGTTCAAGCCCGTCGGCGACAATAATTTTTTTTAAATTATTTCATGTCACATAAATTCAATTCATTTTGTTCGAATTGGATAGCAACCATCTCCAAGATAATAAACAAAATACTGTTCATCAAAATTGTACATTCCACTTTGTGAATAACTATAAGTAGATAGTTAATTTCTAAAAAATTGAATTCTGTATTCCATTTCTATCATTATGTTCTTCTTCGCAGTTCGAGTTGGAATATACTTAAATTATGTTTCCTATTTCTTATATATATTGTCTCATTCAATCATGAAATAGTCATACGAATACAACTCGTGATAATATTTTTCCTGGAAATATTCGTCGATTGACATACTCCAGCTTGCTGCTCTAATTTCGCTCATGACATTGATCCAAAACTACTCGCCTACGGCTCGTAGTTTTGATAACAATGTCATTCACGAAATTACTAGGCAACAAGCTGTCGTAACAATCACCGAATATTTCCGGCAAAATATTATCACTTGTGGTATTATATATGATAATTTTTAGGATATTATTTTAGTTTCTCTATATCAACTTACAAAGTGTACACTCTACAAAATCAGATGTGTTACCGTATAATTGGAGTTTCATTACTCTGTTGGGTAACCTATGTAAATTAAATAAGTAAATGAATAAATAAATAAACGAATTCTATCCGAAGTCAGTGCAGTGCTGAATACGCATCTATACCATGTCAGTGCGATCCAGCCGAATACGCTATTAGGTAAATGTTTGTCTGATTGACTAATACTGGTCACTTGGTGACAAACACGTAGATATAATAGGTTCAAATTCCATGGAAAACATGTTCAAGTAAATCGACTTACGATGACGTGATGGACGCATCGATGGCCGCCTCCTCGCCGTTCCAATACCCGCCGGTCTCCCGCTCCTTCATCATACCCCCCTCCGAGGCGGAACCTCCTCCTCCTCCTCCGCCTCCCACCTGGTTCATGAAGCTGGTCGCGGTGTCCACCAAGCTGGGCCAATCGCTGTCCTCGGGCAGCGGAAAGTCATCGGGGAAACTTAGCGGCGGTTTGGATTTCAAGCGCCCTGACAACTCCTCTTGGGACTTCTTGAAAGAGGCAGATATTTTGATGATTAGATGATGTTTGTTAGATTCAAATCAAATCGTCATATTATGGGATTCCTGATGGTATACCGGGTGACACAGAAGACATGTAACAGCCTGTAGTTTTTTTATTTGAAGAGATAAAAATTCGAAATTCACAAGGGTTATACAGTGTGACCCACTTCTAATGGAACCACCCCTGTATCTTACGTAATCGTTGGGTAAGGATCCTGAAATTTGCTGGAGCGAGAGATATACCAAAAATGCACTTTATGACCAAGTGGGGTCATCTTCAGTGATATACACTGCTCGGCAACAGCCATGAAACCACCCCAATTTCCGGAAAATGAGATTTGGAATCAGGACGCCCAATTTACTAACTATTCAAATTTTTCCTGGAAAATTTTCAGTTCGGAAAAATGAAATTTTGTCGCATTTTTTATGGAAGCACCCCCGTATCTCACGTAATTGACTTTATCTTTGGACTTTCTCTTCCTCCGGCAAAATTCAGAACCCTATCTCAATAATTAAGTGAGATATGGGGGTGCTTCCATAAAAAATGCGACAAAATTTCATTTTTCCTAACTGAAAATTTTCCAGAAAAAATTTGAATAGTTAGTAAATTGGGCGTCCTAATTCCAAATCTGAAGTGATTTTCGACCTATTTTGACTCCTAATATCATTTTCCGGAAATTCGAGTAGTTTCATGGCTGTTGGCGAGCAGTGTATATCACTGAAGATGACCTCACTTGGTCATAGAGTGCATTTTTGGTATATCTCTCACTCCAGCAAATTTCAGGATCCTTACCCAACGATTACATAAGATACAGGGGTCCATTAGAAGTGGGTCACACTGTATAGGTAGCCAATTGTATATTAAGCAGTATAAGTTGTTTATAGGCTGATGACTACAACTCAAACTTTGCTTAGGTAGCTCAGCCATTGAAATTGCCTTTGTACGATTTAATGTATTTAACCTATATGTAGAATATGTAATTATCATCTCATGATATTCATATGAGAGATGTTACGTCACCGGTGTTGGAGTAAAAAGGTAATGGACGATTTTTTCAAATACAAATAGGGGTCATGTGACACCTTGATTGAAAGGTCTACCGATCGTCTATTCAACAGTCAAAATGTTGCATAAGAAGATTGAAATTAAAATGGATCATCATGTGATTAATTGAATCTTGAAGAGGTCTGCTACTGAGAATTGAACATCGAAGGGTCGTCTAGTTGAAAAAATACGTCGAAAAAAAAGTTCTAAACTCTAGTTTTTGTTTTTTTTTCCGAAAGTCGTCTTGTTTTGAAATGAATTTATTCCATACATTTGCATCATACTGTATGTATTTATAAATACATATATAAATATATCATACACAACTGTTGACATGTCCTATACCATGTATTTGAACACAGATTAATAAATATTATCTCATCTTAATTACTGGCGAGAATTATTGATGAATGAATCGAAGGGGGTCTGAAACTCACCAGTGTTTTTACTTCTTGGGGCAAAGGGCTGGACGTGGTACTAGAGTTAGAAATTACAGTGGCCGGTCGGGCAGTGGTCAGGATGACTTCCGGTTGCGTACGGTGAAGACTGATCGGCTGATTGAGGTTATCTCGCGAGGACGAATGCGTTTTCGGGTCTTTGGGGTGATCGCCGGACGTAGCTTCGATGTTGTCCGGATTGATCAACCTGCAACAACCCAATCACGTTTCAAACACGAGAAATATTTTCTTCTGGCTTCTGCATTCGAAAACGGATTTTTCTGAAATTTTCTACAGTTATACCCAGAGTAACATCCGTATACTCCAGAGGTAATTCTGCAGATAATAATAAGAAAAAATGTTCCTAAAGTTCTTTCACTCCGCCCAGATAGTTGCGCAATACTTGGTAACAATATTTTGCCAAAACTTCACAACGAAAAATAATAGTAACTTTCGAAATGGGCGAACCGCCTTACCGATTCAAGTTGGCAAAACAGCGATGCCAGTTCTATTTGATAATTCTAGAAGCGATTTGTTGTGATCAGCTGATCTCTGCGTGTTTACGATTGTAATAAGTATTCACGTTATTTTCTTATTATATTTTGTGCCTGGAAAGTTGGATTCCTCGCGAATCGATCTGGCAACGGAGCGTTGTGGCCGCATGGCGGTTGTAAGAAGTGCATGTGAAGACGCTCAAAAAAGGTGCCGATTATTAATCAATAATAATGCAATAATAGTGATACAGAAACGGTTTGTGGTCCATATAAGGGTGTGAGCAGTCTCTCAACAAACTCAGAAAACTGGCGCCAGTAAATAGATGCAGAGATCGAAGTATAACCAGGTGAGTGAGGTTATCCGATTTTCCGGCAAATAACTAGAATTCCGAGGCAAATTCATAAAATCTTTAATCTATCGTGAACATTTTGGCCCTTCGAGTCGAATCCGAAGGTCCTGTGAAATATAGTCCAAATAGTGTGATGATTTTTTTATCGTTTTTATGAAAGTGGTAGCATTTGTCGAATACATGGTTGCCGGATTTCGAAGTTTGACTGAGTTCTGAGATTTGTAGTTGTAGTTCATGAAAAGTCTTCTACTATTGTTATTTCGTGGTTTTGTGGACACTCTGGCGTGGAAATACAATTTTGGCTCTCATAAAAAATAGTTAAGATTTCGAAAAATTTGAGTCGAGTTGGCAGAACCTTTGACTAGAGCTGAGGAACAGTCAACGTCATTCCATTATGTGCCATGTACATAAAATATTAGATTTCGGAATAACAGCTCAACAAGATCTTTCAAAGATACTGGAGTTTGAGATTCGATATGAGAGTCTTGTGGAACTTGGGCATACATTTAAATCCATTCATTTAGAAATTGTGACTTATTCCATTGACGAAACTCAACGGAAGGAGTATACGAGAGGAATTCGATGATATTCAATATAAAATCAATGGCATTCATCGTCAACTAAGTGTTCCTGAGTCTGACCAAGATAGTAAGTCAAAATTAGCGGTGGTGCAGAACAAAGTGAGCAATCATGTGAGATTGTCTACCATAGATTTTCCGAAGTTTGATGGTATGATAAAAAATTGGTCTAATTTTTATGATTTGTTCAAGTAGTTAATTCATGAAAATGATGATTTGTCAAATATAGAGAAATTTCAATATCTGATTGAGGTTATCTGGCGAGGACGAATGCGTTTTCGGGTCTTTGGGGTGATCGCCGGACGTAGCTTCGATGTTGTCCGGATTGATCAACCTACAACGACCCAATCACGTTTCAAACACGTGAAATATTTTCTTCTGTATTCGGAAACGGATATTTCTGAAATTTTCTACAGTTATACCCAGAGTAACGTCCGTATACTACAGAGGTAATTCTGCAGATAATAATAGGAAAAAATGTTCCTAAAGTTCTTTCACTCCACCCAGATAGTTGCGCAATACTTGGTAACAATATTGTGCCAAAACTGCACAACGAAAAATAATAGTAACTTTCGAAATGGGCGAACCGCCTTACCGATTCAAGTTGGCAAAACTGGACAGCGATGCCAGATTTATTTGACAATTCTTGAAGCGATTTGTTGTGATCAGCTGATCTCTGCGAATTATTCATTACTGAAAATTTGTTCTTTTATGAACTTGTTTGGTTTTTCATTCGTGGATCATTAGTGGATCTGGATTGCGGAGGCACAGAGGATTGTTGTAAAAAATTACCCTTTCCTCGAAAACGGTTCGTTTTACGGCATTCTAACAAAAACACCTTTTTTGTCGACCTCTACAAAAATTCATATTTTACGTTCTAATTTCCGAACGAACCGAATATTTCCGAAGACAAGAACTTTTCGTCCGCAGACACTAACTTTTCGTCCGCAAACACTTCTTGACCGCTGCAGCGTTGCCAGTTCTACTGAATTTTCAGATGATCTCCTGATTTGCATATTGATCAACTGAACTACTGGAACATTTCATAGCCTACTAAAAAATATTGTGACACTTTTTCATTATTATTATTACCTATATGTATTAATCTTTAGTTAATCACATACACTTATGAATTGTATAATATTTCGGCATGTTATCTGTTTACATAAATTTTACAAGTTGAGTAATAAAGTCACATATAGGCACTAATGATATGTATAAACCAATATATGTATAAATATACTCAAATCTTATAAGTACCTATGTAACTATATTTTGTGATATTTGTGAGTATTTTTAAATTAAGAATTAGGAATATGATTATTTTTTTATGGGAATGTTTGTTTGTTGGAAATAGGTTACTTTTCTGTTTCTGTTACTTTACAATGTTTTGACATCATAGGTTTATTTCATTATCTTTTCTTGAGATTCGTATAACATAGAATAGATCTGAATTTTTGGTATTTTTGTATAAATGACGATAACTCCGATGTTATCAACACAAACTATCACTGCGACACATCATCTGTAAGAGAAAAAAAAGTTATTTGTAACTAAGTCATAGTGAGCTATGACCTACATTTGAAAAACTAAAGTTGGTGCTGATATCTCAAATTCTAGAAGAGTTGGTATAAATTTCATATTTTTTTCGAAATCACTTTGAAAAACTGCCATGAGAATGTGAAATTCCTATTTGAATATTTTCATAAATAAAGAAGTTACGGAGGAGACATGAAAATGATCAAAATCTGTTTTTTGTGTATAAAACAAAAACAAATAGATTTTATCAAAATATTTTTTCACATTATAGTTGGCCTTGACAAACTCCACATTTGGTGTCATTTAACCGACCTCGTATCTCTCACCGTTAAAAAGATACCCATGGTGAGCATGATAAGTGGGACACACTGTATATACACATACACATCCATACATACACAAATACATATATTTTTATATTGCAATGAAGTTCTTAATTAATTCAAACACAGTGAAAACATAGAGAAACTGCAGAGAGAGGAAAAAGGGCAAGCAGATAGATGTGAGTGACAGAGTTAGCGAAAATTTGGGGTGGCAAAAAAAACATATAGGGGTAAAATTTGAGTTCATTCGTTCAATATGAAAAAACGTAGTTTGAGGATGTTAATTATATAGTTAAAGTTTATGAAAAGAGTTTTGGGAGTACCAGTGTCAAGGACATCAATAAGATCAGCCAGGTTCGTAATACTCAGCCTTAATGGATTCCTCAGGTTTTCATAAGGCGGACATTCGGAAAAAATATGTTCTAGACTCTCATTCCTGTACATATTACAAATTGTGCAGAGCTGAGTAAAATCAATTTAGTAATACATTCCTCTGTATGAAAAAGTAATATGATCTCGTTCGTATTCGACAAATTATTCTGAATACAGATACTGATGAAATAAAAATTGTACTGGTAACCCTGGTCCGCGCGGAGAGTGAGTTGACAACAACTGTCATTTGTTGTTGTCAAATTAATTATTCACGAAATCCGATAGATTTCACGTGTGAATAGGATCGTGATGTGGATATAAGTATTTGAGGTCGAAAAAAAAGTGTGAAATGCACCTCGGCGAAAAACTGTCTATTGTCTCGCCTGATAGCTGGCATCAACTATCAATTTCCAGACTCTACTATGATAGACGTCTCTGGTACATACATAACTATATTCATGTTAATGTGTTCAATAATCCCTGTATCTTTATTCACGTTTTCCATGCCACCAAACGATTTGTAGGAAAGAAGATCAAATATTTCTAAATACGTATTATCCAAGGCGAAAAAATAAGGTGCAATTTCGAACTGTATACTCTGTACAAGGCTGGAGAATATGAAAAAAACATAATAATCAACAAACCTCAACAACTCCTCCTGAAACGCCGTGGACAAATTGGCGCTATTCCGATTCGACGATCTCGCCGTCACTCCCGGCCTCAACTTCGCCTCGCCGTTCGCCGACCTCGGACTGTGAGTCCTATTGCTGGCCGAATAACCCGAGGGCGAGTTATTTGCATGTTTGGCCGCCCGTCGTGCCGCCCTCGGGGATCCCCCGCCCGCGCTGCCCGTCGACAGGTCGTCCTCGCTGGCCGCCCCGCCTACGCCGAGCAGGTTGAGGCGGTCGCTGATCGAGCTGCCCGCCGAGTGGATAGTGTCGCCCGAGGGCAGGGGTAGGCCTACCACGCCCAGTTTGTGGAAGTCCGACGTGGCGTAGTCGGAAAATTTCTGGGATCTGTGTGGAGAAACGAGAGAATCGAGCTTGATGAACAACATAATTTATTTTATGAGAATATACGATGTAACTTTGAAAAACTAGAGTTCCTAAATGTACTTGACACTGCAGTTTTGAAGTTTTTTGTATATGGGGCGTTGAGAGCTGAAGTGGCCTAACCTCAAATTCAAGTTTGCGAGGAAATTAACATTTTAAATCTTGCAATATTCCACTTAAATGTTTCTCGTCAGAATTGATTCGTATACCAAAAATGTTCGAAAAAATTGGAATTGGGTAATAAAACATAGAAATATGAAGTGCCTACTGAAAATTTGTGAATTTTGGAAAATATGAATTTTGGAAAATATGAATTTTGATGTGGGTTATAGGCTAATAAAATTAAATCGAAAAAAACCGTTTTGAGGAATTAATTTCCAGCAAACTGGAAATCGTTTTAATACCTTTATTTGGTCCTAAATGCGTGTAATCTGAGTTTGCACCATGTCAGGTGGTGAGCTTAACTTTTGATAGCCAAAAAACCGCCACATTTTTGCACTTTTTTTATTTTTTTGCTTATAGCTGCAAAACGGTGCGTCGGACGGAAAATGTTATCCCATTCAATAATACAGAGGACAAAATTCTGCGTCGAATGACATCTGAAAACATCAAATTCCGTTCAGAGGTATAGCCGAAATCGAATGTTAAAAAAAAGAAAATTTCGTAGTGGGATTTTTATATTTCAACCTTTATGGTTTATGGTACTCAATGCAAAAAATCCATGGAATCATTTCTTTCTGAATGTTTAGGTAACAATAATTAAGGCTTTTAAACTCTTTTCAAATTGTGACAAAATTTTACACTACCTAATTTTATTTATTATTTACAATGAATTTTGTTTGGCGTTTGTAAAAAAAAATTGTTTGCAACTCGTGCGCGAAATACTTTGGTGATTTCGACTATTTTTTAACTTGGCTGCGCCTCGTTAAAAAAATCAGCTCTCGATCACCAAAGTAGCATTTCGCGCACTAGATGAAAAATAATTATAAATTGATGCAAAATTTGGGACCGAAGCTGAACCGGGCATTCAGATATCCGGATAATTGGACAAATCAAGAAAACTTAAACATTTGGACATCTATCTATATAACGTGAATTTTATTCTCTAAAACTTTTATTTTATGGGTTTTTTCAATAGGAGTATCTGTTTTCACGATATGTCGTCTTGGAAAGCCGCAAAATGTAAGCTTGCACCGAACTACGAAATTTTCTTCTTTTTTAACATTCGATTTCGGCTATACTACTAAACGGAATTTGATGTTTTCAGATGTCATTCGACGCAGAATTTTGCCTTCTATATTATTGAATAGAATGACATTTTTCGACCGATGAACCATTTTGCAGCTATAAGCAAAAAAATAAAAAAAGTGCAAAAATTTGGCGATTTTTTGGCTATCAAAAGTCAAGCTCAACTCCTGGAATGGTGCAAACTTAGATTACACGCATTTGGGACCGAATGAAGGTAATTAAATGATTTCCAGCTTGCTGGAAATTAATTCCTCAAAATATAATTATTTGATTGGCCTATTAGGCCACTTTAAAATTATGGGGACGATGAGAATAAAGTCTGATTCGGCAGCCTAACCCCTGACATATTTCGAATAGTCCTCTCAAATGAGCCGAATAAAGTTTCATACTGTATCGGAAAAGTGATTTATTGAAAAAAATAGAACGAAATAAGTATTTCTTTGAAAAAATGCAGAATTGAGACATAAAGATTCAGTGCTTTCCTCTTCGATTGAATTGTCATTCTCGGCATGCTCAGCTATTTCGTCAACTGTAGTTGCAGAAGTCTCCAATCCATCATAAAATGGGTGGTATATAGGAGAAACATTGGGAAGAAGATCCATAAGATCTTGTTATTTTTTTTCAATCGCCCTACCATTTGGGAACAGTAACTCACAAAATTGAATGAAACGTCCTCTGAATTGAAATATTTGTACTAAGAACGGTGCTTTCTCCCAGAAGTGAATCTAAGACATTGCATTTTCATCCATTCCACCTTTGAACCATCTTCAGAAAGTTTTCTATTAGTTATATTATCTTCTAGTGATTTGGTGGAGAACATATCTTTTTCGGATACTTCCCCTTTAGCAATGTGAACGGCGATCTACAGTGTGTCCCACTTACCATGCTCACCATGGGTATATTTGCAACGGTGAGAGATACGAGGTCGGTTAAATGACACCAAATGTGGAGTTTGTCAAGGCCAACTATAATGTGGAACTATTCGTTTTTGTTTTATACGGAAAAAACAGATTTTCATCATTTTCATGTCTCCTTCATAACTTGTTTATTTATGAAAATATTCAAATAGGAATTTCACATTCTCATGGCAGTTTTTCAAAGTGATTTCGGGAAAAATATGGAATTTATACCAATTCTTCTAGAATTTGAGATATCAGCACCAACTTTAGTTTTTCAAATGTAGGTCATAGCTCACTATGACTTAGTTAAAAATATTTTTTTTTCTCTTACAGATGATATGTCGCAGTAATAGTTTTGTGTTAATAACAACGGAGTTATCGTCATTTATACAAAAACAAAAACTTATTTGGAAGCCGCCATCTTGAATTTATAAATTTTAACAAAAAACTGCGACCTGAAAAACTCCCACTCACCAATTTTGAATGGAATCGGAATCGGACCAAATCTTGTCCGCCATCTTGGAGCAGCCATTTTTTCAAATTTCTGTCTGTAATCAAATGTTACAAGTGAATTTTGACTCACTTCTGGCCGTCCTATGAACTTGAAATTTGGCAGATGTACGTAAATCCGGTGACAATTCATTGTGGAATTTTTGTTGAAATTAAAAACAATGGCTGCTCCAAGATGGCGGACAAGATTTGGTCCGATTCCATTCAAAATTGGTAGGTGGGGGTTTTTGAGATCGGAGATCATGATTTTTTTGTTAAAATTTATAAATTCAAGATGGCGGCTTCCAAATAATTTTTTGTTTTCGTATAAATGACGATAACTCCGTTGTTATCAACACAAAACAATTATTGCGACATATCATCTGTAAGAGAAAAAGAAGTTATTCGTAACTAAGTCATAGTGAGCTATGACCTACATTTGAAAAACTAAAGTTGGTGCTGATATCTCAAATTCTAGAAGAGTTGGTATAAATTTCATATTTTTTTCGAAATCACTTTGAAAAACTGCCATGAGAATGTGAAACTCCTATTTGAATATTTTCATAAATAAAGAAGTTACGGGGAAGATATGAAAATGATCAAAATCTGTTTTTTGCGTATAAAACAAAAACGAATAGATTTTATCAAAATATCTTTTCACATTATAGTTGGCCTTGACAAACTCCACATTTGGAGTTAAAAAGATACCCATGGTGAGCATGGTAAGTGGGACACACTGTATACTTTGAAAAAATAAATTACTCATACCATTGAATCCTACGTGAAAAATTGCTTCGGAAATGTTATCATAGAAACAACAAATTTTCGACAGGAAAAAAGTTACAGGAAGTTTTCGAAAATGCACATTTTCGGAAAACATGCTGTAACTCAGAAACGATGATAGATATCGATGTGCGGTTTTCACTATCGAGTTTGTCATAAAAATTGACCATTTAAAAATAGGACTTTACCTTTGAAAGTGTCCAATTTGGCCCACCCTGTATAGTCATCTTAATAACTCCTGCAATAAGAGCGCTGACACCGTCCAACCGCGACCCGATCTCTGAAGACGACTGTACATACAATAGTGTTACCTGATGACTTCCGTTGGATCGAAACAAATGTTTTTCTCGTTGAAGAGTTGGGACACCCTGTATTTCGAGCCTCCCCAATTTTATAGTGTACTTGTAAAAACAAGTCGAACGAAAATCATTAGGTTCATTCTTCATTTCAATTGAATACTTAATAATTATTGAAAAACAATACTCCCCATACATCACGTTGTATGAAAATATAAATGTCGTTTTCAATATCCAAGAAACAAGTTGACAAAATAAATCCTCAATGCCCTTTTGGAGGGCAATTTTATGTTCATTGGCTATTTACGTCCGAACAATGGAATTTTTCATGAAAAAAGTGGGGACTGTTTATCGTATCGAGATCGAGCAAAAAATTGTGAATCATTCGATTACAGAACACTGAAGAACAGTCGAGTCCATTTTCAGTATATCGTTTACCACGCAAGTGTATGTATGTGTGGTGAAAACTGACTGTTAGATTATTTGAATTTGAATTTCAGAACATTGAAAAGTGTACCGAAAGTGAGGAAAGGATGCCGGTGAGTTGATATCAATGCTTTTAGATCAAATTCGACACCAATTCTTATGGTTTTTATCTCGGTTTTCATATTTTTTGCTTGCCGATCTACAACAGTTCCGGATCTTATAAAGATTCTGATTTTTGGCTGGAAATTTCAATTATCTTTCTAAAATTTTGACTTCAGAGTGAAAAATTCGCCATTTATATCGAAATCTCAACTTTTATCTCGAATGTTTCGACTTTTATTAACAAAATTCCTACATTTTTCAAATTTCGAAATTTTATTTGAATGTGAATTTCTAGAACACAACATTGAGTTCAAAAATCTGTTGACCAATAAAAGTAATTCTACAGTGTGTGATCGTATGATGGGATATTTCAAAAGAGTTTTTTATTCACTTGACAGTTTTTGGTAAAACTGCATTCATCATGCGATGGTTTTTTTTTCGAAAATATTTTTGGGTAGGTACTTACATACGTATTTTTGCCTGAAAAACACGATTTTGGTAATGAAAATGTGAACAAGCCACTATTTATCGAGATATTTCGAGAAAAAGTTCGAAATGTTGCAGCTAACTTGCTCTTCTTATTTTGTCATTGGACACTTTATGGGTGGGGCATTAGTGCGTCGGAGCTCGATTGCTCGACATCTATGATAGCTAGAAACCTGATTCAAAAACGAATGTGAATGAGACAACAAGGTCCATAACTAAAAATTATTGCCGGATA